ATATATATTGAATAGGCATTTGGTACCTTCCTCATTGGTACCTTCCTCATTTGCATCTCGCTTTGCTCCCATCACCAAGGGGAAAAGGATGCTTTAGTGTCCTTGAGGACTGTGACATGACATCCCTATAATCTATGCAGACCACATTAGGGTCCCAGAATATCTAATTCCAAGGAAGCCTTGCCTGCCCAGTGTGGTTGGTCCCTTGGTGCACATCAGTGATCTAGAATTCAGAAGTGGGGAGTGGGATTTCAAGGCCAACCTGGGCTTATATAGGAGACCCTGTCTCAAAAAAATGGTGGGAGACACTGAGTGTGGTACATCAACCCTGTAGTCCCAGCACTGGGGAAGCCCAGGTAAGAGGATCAGCATGGGTTAAAACCAGCCTGGAGCAGGGTGTAGTAGGGCATGCCTTTAATTGAAGTAACTTGTTAGGGGAATCTCTGAGTTTGAGACCAGCCTGATCTACAGAGTGAGTTCCAGGACAGCCTGGGCTACACAGAGAAAACAAACAAACCAAAACCCAGCCTGGGCTACATAGTAAATTCCAGAGCTGCTTCACCATCTGCAAACAAAACAGAACAGCAACACCAAATTGTATGCTGGGGTCTGGGAAGTAGCTTGCGTGGTGGAGAACTGGCCTAGCCTGTGTGAAGCCCCAGATTCCAGGCGGTTGCATTGACTAGGTTGATAGTGCCCATTTTATGATCCCAGCACTGGGGGGGGGGGGGGGGGGGGAGGCAGGAGGATCAGAAGTGCAAGGTCATCCTCAACTGTGTAACCAGCCTAAGGGCCAGCCTAGAACATGTGAAGCCGAAAAACCAAAACCAAGCAAACAAACGGAAAAGAAGAAAGAAAAAGAGAAGGCGGTGGGTGGGGAGGGAGGGAGGGAGGGAGGAAAGAAGGAATTGATCTCAAGCTCCGTCCTCTCAGCGGATGTGAGGAAGAGGTCTAGGAGGAGCTTGCCTACCACATCCACAGCCTCTCGCCAGTGCCTAGCGGCAAAGGAGCAGGCAGAGAGAAAGCAGCTCTGCCGGCTTTGTCAGGGGCGGACGCTTCATCTGGTGGCATGGTGGGCCCGCTCTTGCTTCCAGTATTTGCGGTCATCACAGCTAGGAGCAGGGGAGAAGACCTAGCAAGCCTCCAATTTTATTGGAGCTCCAGGAGAGATGGGACTTCCTGTTGGGAGTCCCTTGAAGGGAGGGACTTCCCTGTTGCAAAGGCAATGAAAACTGGTGCGAAATGAGCCGGTGTCTCCAGAAGACCTATGGTAGATGCAGGTCGTTGCTTCTCACCTCCCCCCTCGGTGCTGCTACAACTCTGGAGTTAGACCCAGGCCCAGGGAAGAAAAGAGGCCTGAGGCCTGGTGAGAGAGTTGGGACGTACAGGGAAGGAGAAAGGGGTGGCCAGGAATAGGTAAGCTGGGGGACAAGGCCTTGGTGCTGGGCCGGGCAGGGCAGGGCAGGGTAGCTCCTAAACTGCCTTCCAGCTGGCTCAGGAATGTGTGAGGTGTGAGGTCAGCCAGGGCCAGAGAGTCACCTGCCCCCCTGGGATGCCATTCTCAGCACTTCCCACCCGCTGCCCCCCCATTTGGAAGTTCCCTGGCAAAAAAGCTCCATGTCCCTCCTCTACCCCTGTCTCAGCTTAGCCTCTGACTTTCTCTGTCATAAAGGGTTCTACCTGTTGAAGCGGCCGTAACACTTTCTTTTGACTGGTCCCCTCCTCCAGTCTCTGTCCCACCCCCTCTGCACGCCCTAGTCTGACCGGTTGCTCCCAGCCTTCAAGGCTCTGGGGCTTTGGCCCAACCCAGCCCCTCATGCCTCACCCTGCTGGGCCAGCGGGTTTGGGTTGGGCCATCCTCTACCCCCTAGGAATGGGGCGGGTAGACCCCACCTCACCTGTCCGGTGTGTCTCCTGGGTTCCAAGTGGCAGGACATTTCCCTTTGGAAGGGAAAATGGGTAATGGTGTTAAGGACTGGGGTAGCAAACTGAGGAGCTGGGGTGCTTGCCCAGTGCTTTTGTCTGGATGGGAAAATAGGATGCTGGTGAATTCAGACTGTTTCTGCTTGGAAGGTCTGTGATCCCACACTGGATGGGAGATAGTAGTTAGGGTGAATGAGTGAGCCGGCTTGTTAATGGTTCAAGGCCATGTAGGAAATGAATCCCAGAAAAGCCCCTTTGTTTTGTCTGGTGTTTTCCTCTGGGTCTAGTGCTTCTTTTTGTTGTCCGTTTGTTTCTTATCTTGCTTTGCTTTTGTTTTTTTTTGTTGTCCTGGAGGTGTGAGCAGAGACAACCACTGAGCTCCATGCCAAAGCCCCACCCCTCCTTAATTTCCTCGGGTTTTGGTTTTTAACTTTTAGACAGGGTCTCACTAAGTTGCCCAGGCAGGCTTGAGCTTTTTAATGTCCTCTTCTTCCCTTAGCCTCCTGAGGAACCGAGATGACAGGCGTGTTGCCCCACCGGGCCTCTCCAGTGTTCCTCTTTTGCATACGTGCATTCGTGTCTCATTTGTGTGCACGCGAGTGTGCACGTGTGGGTGCACGTAGAACAGCTTTGATGATTATACCTCAGGCACTGTGTGCGTGCGTGCGTGCGTGCGTGCCTGCCTGTGTGTGTGTGTGTGTGTGTGTGTGTGTGTGTTGTTGGCCTGGGTCCCAATGAATCAGCCTGTGTGGCTGACTAGCGAGACCTAAGGATTCTCTGTCGCTCCAGAGTTGAGATGATGACCATGGGTCACTACCCTTGTTTTTTTTTTTTTTAAACTTGAGTTCTGGGGCTCAAACTTGGGTTCTTTTTTTTTAAGATTTATTTATTTATTATGTATAGTGTTCTATCTGTATGTTTGCTGGCCAGAAGAGGGCACCAGTTCTCATTACAGATGGTTATGAGCCACCATGTGGTTGCTGGGACCTCTGGACCCAGGAACTCAGGACCTCTGGAAGAGCAGTCAGTGCTCTTAACCTCTGAGCCCTCTCTCCAGCCCTCAAACTTGGGTTCTTATGTCTTTATCACAGCATTTTACCCACAGAGCCATCACCCTGGTCCCCGCTAACTTAAACTTTTTTCACATATTTATCTGTGAATGTGTGTGTATATGTACACTGTGTGGATAGAGAGGTCAAAGGTCAGAACGGTTTGTTTTCCCCTCCCACCCTCTAGATCCTGAGGGTCCAAATCAGGTCATTATTATCTGTGGATAACTATTACCTTGACCGGCTAAGCCATCTGGGTGAGCCCTCCTCATGCTTACCTCATGAATTTAAAAGCAGTCTCATGACCCCCACTTTGCAGATGAAAACAATGGGGTGGGAGGAAAGGGTTTTGTTAGCCGACAGAAGGTCACTCAGTCAGTGAACCTGGGTCTCGCTCTGCAACCCCAGTCTCTTGTTGGAATGTGTGTGTCCCTAGAGAACAGGCGGTGGCAGCGGTCCTTAGGATGTCCTCTTGCTGAGACAGAGGCAGGGGCAGCTCCCTAACTGAGGCAGGCAGCCAGCCCCTCTCCCTCCCTGCCAGAGCTGCCCTGCCTACCCCCAGAGGCACCACAAAATTGGATCTAGGAGAGGGTGTAGACAGGAGTGCTGGATACCACTCTTTTGGCCTCAGGCCCAGACTCTGAATGCGCCCAGAACATACGTGGGGAGCTAAACTGGCCAATATCCCCAGAATCTGAATATCCCCAACACTTGACCTTCAGAGGCAAAGACTCGCCTCAAGAGCTGCCTTCTTCCCAAGGGTCCGGAGAGACAGCCTTCTTCAGTTACACTGTGCACCAGAAAACCCCCAGGGGGCGCCATTTCCCTTTGAAGTCACGGCCAGGCCTGCGTTGGAAATTGTGACAGTTTTGGGGGCAGTGGCAATGAAGTGTCTTGGAAGGGGCTGTCTCATTCTCATGCACACAAAGTTGTGTAGCGACTTGTGGCGCTTCCCCTTCCTGCCCCCAGCCTTGCCCGAGAAGTCCAGGGTAGCCCTTGCCAGAGCCCTCATCCCGGCGAGTCTTTAGGGCTAGAAAGGCATAGAGGAAGTACTCTCAAAAACGGCGCTAGACAAACACAAGATAGGCATCAGTTGGCCAACAAATGTTGCTGGTTGTATTATTCCTTTATTTCTGGCAAGGGCAGAAGATTTAACTTGGCACCTCCGCCTGAGTGTCCGCCAAGCAGGGCTGACACCTCTCTTCTGGTACATCTGTCCATCTTTGGCGGCTCTATCGGAGGAAGGGTGTCGGGTTTTTAATTCTATAGCCCGCTCTCCTCCCAGGTACTGTGGGTCGGCGTGGCTTCAGAACAGATTTGACACTGGCGAGTTGGCGCTCCTGCCTCCATTGTGTGTGTGTGTGTGTGTGTGTGTGTGTGTGTGAGAGAGAGAGAGAGAGAGACACTCATGACTTTGTATGCTTGCACACTCGTGTGTGCCCAAGTGCAATATGGCAGGCTTGTGGAGATCAGAGAACAACTTGTTCTTGCTTTCCACCATGTAGGTCTGGGAATGGCGCTCGGGTTGTCGGGTAGTGGCCAGAGCCTTTACCCATGAGCCCTCTGTCCGTCTCCCTCCATCCTTACACATGTCCTCTGTCCCTTTGGGGGCTCCAGGTGTCCCCAGTCACTAATGTTCAGCTATTCAGCTCTTTCTAGCCTGGTCACCCCCATGGTTGTCCTACCTGTCAGCACCTCCTGCACTCAGAGCTTGGCCAGGAAATGGAAAATTCCCAGCTCCCTTTCTGATAGCAGGGCCTCCTGCAAGGGTCACCTTGGACTTAGTATAGATTCCCCGGTAGGAAAGCAGGTTGGGGCCTGACAGCCAGTGTGAGAAGGACTACAAGAGAGCCAGCTCTCTATGAATGGAGCCAAGTGGCACCCTGGTTCTGGGAGGGAGCAGGGTTGGAGACCCCTGCGTCCCAGGGGAAGCAGAAGGGAGGTTTAGGTAACTGAAACAAGAGCCTGCCTCCCTGTCTCTGGTGGTCAAAGAGGAGATACTGGAGGCCGGAGCAGAGCAGCAAGGGGACCCTCGAAAGTCCTGGGTGACCAGAGGGGCTTGAGAGAGAACTAGATACCAGATTTTCTGACCTGGTGCCAGTCAGGAGCCTGAGCCCTGGGGCGGTTGAGCCAGTCATGAGTTGCCCTCTGGTGGCCACAGACCGAACTGCAGCCAGGCCTTACTACTGATTTAGGTTTCTGCTCTTCTATCCAATGTCCCGTGTCAGCCTTTTTTTTTCCCCTTTCCTTTTGCCTTTTCTTAAGTCCTGACCCATTCCAAAACCTCCACATCCAAGTCTCAGATCCTATACAGACTGCTTTTGATTTACAGGCTTCCTAGCAGGGGGCTTGGAGGAGGGGCTTTCTGTCGCTATGGAAACTATTCCTAATTTTTTCCTTCACTGAAGGAAGTGGGGGCTCCTCTGCCCCGGGTTGCAAGAGCCACCCAGGATGTATGTATTTTGGATTAGGTGGGATGTGTTCATTAATACGTTTTCCCCACCCCCTGTCTATTTGCTCTCCCTGAGGGAAAGCTGAGGTGGGGGTTTCACACTCCCATAGGCATAGGTAGGGGATAGGTCTCCTAGGCTCTCACCTTCAAGCCCCTCCCCACGCCCGCCTTCTTGCCCCGTAACCCCTCCTCCACCCAAGGCTCACCAGCTGACTTCACCTCCCCTTCCCCTCTCGTCTGGGAGCGGTGCCAGGGTGAGAAGGGGACACTGGCACAGACCATGTGTGTCTGGGAATTCCCGCCCACTGTGGAGCCAAGGGAGGGGGTCCCCGTGTCCCTGAGGAACCAATAGCAGCTGCGCCTTGCCCTGAGGGGGAGGGCAGGGTGTATATCTCTGAGGCCAGCACTTGGTGGGTGCTGACTCCTCTCTGCCTGCCTGGCATCCACCAGATGCTCCTCTGCCCAGGGGGGCTCTGAGCCCCCCAGGCATTCCCTCTGACACAGCCCTGGGGTTGGGAGTAGATGCTGATGCTTACCTCAGGAATGTCCCAGTCTGGGGTCTCCGTGAAGTCCTTGGTATCATCGTATGAGACTCGAGTAGTGGGGATGGCGCCAGGGGCACCCCGAAAAAGGGGCTGTGTGTCTTCCCCATGCTCCCCACGGGGGTCGTCCCCCATCCGAGGGGCACTGGGAGCTCCTACCCATCAGGGCCTGGGGGGATCTGGGCAGAGACCTTCATCCCGCCGGGGGATGGACAAAAGCCTCCTCCCTCTGATCCTCTACTGTCACAGGTACCTAGGGCGCGGGGTGGGGTGTAGGCTGGGCCTTTAGAGCAAGGAGCACCTGGAAGGCAGTAGCGGAGCTGACTTGGGGCTCCTCCTCTTCAACTTGTACCTCCCCGTGTCTTCTCCAGTGGTTCCGGAAGCCTGGTTGGCATCGACAACAAGATTGAACAAGCCATGGTAAGAAAAGATGTTTGGGACCCAGGAGCCCCTTGGGCAGCCCCTCGTCCATCTCCCTGCTCCCCTTACCCAGGAATACAAACTCCTGTTGTCACCCTCCATCCCTGCCTGAGTCCTGTCCCTCGTCCTCTGACCCCCGTGCTGTCCCTGTCCTCCTTTATCCTCTGTCCCCTCCATTGGGGGAAGGGGACTGGGTATCTCATAACTACTCCGTCGAGGTACCTGGGTAGGAGACGCAGTTGGAGGTGGCTTGGGAGGCCTGATGAGGTCTGTTTGTCCCCGGGGTCCAGGACTTGGTGAAGTCCCACCTCATGTTTGCCGTGCGCGAAGAGGTGGAGGTACTGAAGGAACAGATCCGAGACCTGGCAGAACGCAATGCTGCCCTGGAGCAAGAGAATGGATTGCTGCGTGCCCTGGCCAGCCCGGAGCAGCTGGCCCAGCTGCCATCCTCGGGACTTCCACGGCTCGGGCCCTCTGCACCTAACGGGCCTTCCATCTGAGCCTCCTTTCCCTTACAATGTGCCTTTGGGGGGCTGCCACTGGCTGCTGGGCCTTGTGCCAGCTGCCTGCCCCCTTTTCCGATGTAGCTTTAAATGCCCACACCCAACCCCAACGCCCAGGGATGGGAGTGGAAGGCTCAATATTGGCCTGTCCCGTCCCACCTGGTCCTCCCCAGAGTCCCCAGGCCTTTTAGGAAGAGGGGACGGCCCAGGATGGGGGTGCTTGTTGGGAGCCCCTCATCCATGAAAGAACCCAGTCCCACCTTTTTCCCTAGGTATCAGTGTTCTGGGGACTCCCTCCCCCAGCAGTAGATGGCCTGGAAAGATCTGGAGGTTCCCTGGCAGGTTCTCCCCCTCCACCCTACCCTGTCCCCTCCAAGCGCCCCCTCTCCTCTGCCTAGGGGAGGGTGTATGGACAGTATCTTCAACTTTTGGGATTCAGGTTGTTATTAAAATAATAATTATAATTAAAAAAATCTGAAGAAACTTGAATATGGAGGTTGGTGTGGTATTGCTGTGTCCAGACCCCCTAATACACAGACACACACACACACAGACACACACACACACACACAGTGTCCCTGAAGATCCCAGGTCCACACTGGAGAAGGTGGCTGAAAATGCAGGAATGATCCTGGCCCCTGGAAAGGCCTGGCAGGCTGGCCTAAGGAAAGAGGTAGGGGGCGGTGTCTACCCACGTGCTGGTGGTTGGCGGTGTGAGGGGGGGGGGATAACAATGAAGTCTTTGGTGTGTGTGAGGATCCACCCCCAGCTTCCCAGTGTGTCCCCTCTTGTGGGCTGGATCCGGGTAGCTGCTTGGAGGCAGGGCAGGGAACCTTGAATGGGCCCCTTGTCTTAAGGCTGGGTGTGGGCCAGGCTCTTTGGGCACATGGTGCCCTTGCCAGGCCTGGCAGGCCGCCTTGGCTTCCACCCCACCCCTGGCTGGATGAGAACTCAGCCCAGTGGGTGAGCAGGCTCCTCCCGGACCGCCTGGGCTTCTATCCCAGTCAGATGGAGGCAGTCAAGGAGAAGGACTCCATCTAGTGGAGAGAAAGGCAATAGCAGCCTTGAGGGAGAAAGTCTTGCCGCCGGCCATCAAGGAAGAGCGCGTTAGAGGCAGCCCAGCGGATTGGACCTCAAATCTTTTTCTGAGTCAGGGTGTGGTGGTTGAAACAGGGTCTCAGCTGGGCAGTGGTGGCTCATGCCTTTAATCCAAGCACTCAGGAGGCAGAGGCAGGCGGATCTCAGTTCGAGGCCAGCCTGCTCTACAAAGTGAGTTCCAGGACAGTTACAGAGTACCCTGTTTCCAAAAAAAAAATATATATATATATATAAATATAAAAGAAAAAATAAGGAAGAAAGAAAAAAAGAGAACAGGGTCTCGTGTAGGTCAGCCTAACCTGGTTTCAAAGGAAAGAAAGAAGAAAGAAAGAAAGAAAGAAAGAAAGAAAGAAAGAAAGAGAAAGAAAACAGGGACTCGTGTAGGTCAGCCTAACCTGGTTTCATTCAAACTTACTATATAGTTGAGAATGATCTTGAACTCCTGCCTAATCCTGTGTGCTGGAATTACAGGTGTTCATCACTGCTGAGTGAGCTTTGGTCCTTGGTGTGTGTGTGTGTGTCTGTGTGTGTGTGTCTGTGTGTGACATGGCATTCACGTGGAGACCAGAGGATAAACTTGCGTGTCAGTCTTCACCTCTGACCCCATCTGAGACGGGGTCTCTCTGTTCACCGCTGTGGATGCCAGGCTGGCTGTCCTATTGCTGGCTTCCTTCTGGGAGCACTGGTATCACAGACATGCGTGCTACTGTACCTGGGTTCTTGGGATCCCAACTCAGCTTACTAGGGTTGTATGGTCCGCGCTTTCTCTACTGAACTGTCACCTCAGCCTTTTGTTGTTTTGAGGTAGGATGTCACCTACCCCATGGTGGCCTTGAACTCACTGAGTAGCTGAGGCTGATTTTGAGTTGCATCTGTGTGCACATGCATGTGCGTGTATGTACACATGCATGTGGAGGCCAGACATTAACCTTGGGTGTCTTTTCAACCCCTTTCCCACAGTTTTTATTGTTTTCTGTCTTTGAAACAGGCTTTCTTTCTCTGTGCAGCCCTGGTTGTAGACCAGGCTGATCTCAAACTCAAAGATCCTGCCTCCCTCCCGAGTGCTGGGATTAAAGGGGGTGTGCCACCATGCCTGGCCCACAGTATTTTTTGAGGTAGGCTCTCTCACTGGACCTGGTCCTAACTGATGGAGCTAGACCGACTGGCCCCAGAAGTCCTTTTGTCTCTGTGACCCCACTAGTTCACCGCAGAATGCCGGGGACCCAAGGTCTGGTCCTCATGCTAACTCACGCGGTCCCTTTTCCTAACAGAGCCATCACCCTAACCTGCTGAAATTGGCTTTTAACTTTCTCTCCTCCCACCCCATCTAAGTGAGGGGATTCTGGGCATATACCACCATGCCCATTTTAGTTTTCTGTTTTATCTTTAGTGTGTGTGTGTGCGCTGGGTGTTTTGCTTGCCCATACATCTGCACGGTGTGGCTGCACGGTACCCACAGAGACCCGAAGGGGGTGCTGGATTCCCTGTAACAGGAGCTAGAGATGGTTGTAAACTAGCATGTGGGTGATGCGGGCTGGGAGCCGGGTCCTCTGGAAGAGCAGCAGGTGCTCTTAATGGCTGAGCCACCTCTCCAGGCCTCTCAGATCCACTTTTGTGAAGCTCGTATTCGCTCTCCATAGTACTTACCTTGAAGGACTGCTGTGATGATTAACTAGCAAACTCCACAGACAATGTATCTGGGCTCTTGATCGGCGTCGATTTGATTATCCTGGATCTCAAGCCAGAAGGGACAAGGTCATCAATGATTGACTCGGAAGGCCCCGGAAGGTCCTCGGGGGGTTGGGGCCAGACAGGTCTCACAATGATCTAGAACACTCGCTGACTCTAAGTTCTCATCCATTTGACTCCTCTCCCTGTCTCAGGGAGAGGAGGAAGGGCCAGGCATGAGTCACTGGGGGGCACACCCCCTTCGGATTTCTTATTTCTTCCTTCAGTACCGTGCCTGAAGCTCCTCAGAACCCACAAATTCTCTCTGGTGGTGGCCGCTGGCCTACAACCTTTTCCCTTTCAAACCCCAAATGCTGGCTTAAGCACCATACTTTGGACGTGTGGTGTCTGGAGAGATGGCCGCGATCAGGAGATTCTTGAAATGGGTTAGGCGAATTTGGCGAAAAATGACCTGCTGGGTGAGTCCCACAAACACACCATGGCCATGAGATGGACGTTCTGGTTCATGGCATCTGGGCCGTAGCAACCCTTACCACTTTGTTCCTCCCGTTCAGTCTCATGGCTAAACAAGACAGGGCAGGAAGTAGGGGTTTATGAGGGCTGGGAAGGGGCTTAGAGACATGGGGGTAGGACAGTCATGTCTGGCTTTGCTGTCTTTACCATGAGGTCCGCTCGCTCTCTCTCTCTCTCTCTCCTCTGTGCCTTATTTCTATTGTTCTGTGTAGAGGGTTGCACACATACCATGGAGTGTGGAAGTCAGCAGGCAACTTCGGGGATTTGGTTTTCTCCTTTCATTGTAGGAGCCATGGCCCATCTCAGGTTGTCAAGCCCACCTGGTCGGGCTTTCACCCGCTGAGGTGTCTCGCCCGCCCTGTGTCTTCTTTCTCAGGTCCGGTTCTGGAAATATGAAACCAAGCCAAGCATGCCCGACCAGCCCAAGAAACATTCCCTGAAGGAGAAGACTGCCTCGGACTTTGACCCTTCAAAGATGGTCAAACCCCACAAAGAGCCCAAGGTCTCTGACCTGGATGTCTGCCCAGGGGTGCTTGAACCCTCTGTGTTGGCCGCTGTCAAGGACATGCCCGCTGTACCCCGCAAGAGTCGCTCCCTGATGCAGCTGTCCCAGAATGTGGTCCACTCGGTTTCCACGCTGATGGTCTCGGCGCTGCAGTCTGGCTGGCGACTGTGTAAGTGGAAGGTGAGTGCCGTCCCAGCCCCGGCCTGAGTCTCATTCTTCCCTCTGTCCCTTCTCCATCACCATTGGGTTTTTTGTTTGTTTGTTGGTGTCTTTTTTTTTTTTTTTTTTTTTTTTTTTTTGAGATAGGGTTTCTCTCTGTAACAGTCCTGGCTGTCCTGGGACTCACTTTGTAGACCAGGCTGGCCTCGAACTCAGAGATCCTCCTGCCTCTGCCTCCCAAATACTGGGATTAAAGGTGTGCGCCACCACCACCCAGCCCCATCACCATTTTTTTTTTTTGGAGACAGGGTCTTGTGTAGCCCAGGTTTGCCTTGAACTTGCTATGTAGCTGAGGATAGCCAGAAATTCCTATTTAAATTTATTTCTGCTTATCTTTAAAAATGTTATTTATGTGTATATGTGTATTCCTGTTTGTCTGAATGTGCACCATGTATGTGCAGCTGTCCAGAGGAGGTCATAAAATGTTGTCAACCCCTGGAACCTGGAGTTGCAGGTGGCTGTGAGCTACCTGGTACAGGTGCTGGGTTCTCTGCAAGAACAGCAAATGTTTGTAACTGCTAAGCCATCTCTCCTGCCCCAAGATTTCTATTCTGTTTATTTATCTTATTTTTTTTCCCCCAAGACAGGGTTTCTCTGTAGTTTTGGAGCCTGTCCTGAAACTTGCTCTTGTAGACCAGGCTGGCCTCAAACTCACAGAGATCCACGTGCCTCTGCCTCCCGAGTGCTGGGATTAAAGGTGTCCACCACCACCCGGCTTATTTTAGTTTTTTAAAGACAGGTTCTCAGCCCCTACCCTGGCTGTCCTTGAACTCACAGAGATCCTCTTACCTCTGCCTCCTGAGTGCTGGGATTAAAAGCGCGTAACACTAAACCCTAATCCTCAAATTCCTTTTCTTTTTTAAAAAAATTTCTGTGTGTATGAGTATAGCCGCACCTGTGCCCTAGCATGCTTGTGGCATCCGTCTTTTCCAGTTTATTTTAATATATTTTTATTTATACGCATGCATGCCATGTGTATGCAGGTGCCCATGGAGGCCAGGAGAGGAAGTCAGATCCCTTGTAGTTGGAGTTACAGCCGGTTGTGAGCCTCCCACTGTGGGTGCTGGGAACTGAACCCCAGTCCTCTGTAAGATCAGCAAGTATCCTTAACCACTGAACCATCACTCCATCCCTTCCACAGAGTCTCTTGTCACTGTTGTAGATGACAGTCTACCTGTCCCGAGAGTTTCTGGGGATCTTCTGTGTCCTCCCATGTCACTGTTGGGGTGCCAGGGTGACAGGTACACGTGCTGCGGTTCCAGTTTTTAACGTAGGTTTTGAGGATCTGAACTCGGGTCTCATGCTCACACAGTAAATACTAAACCAACCGAGCCATCTTTCCTGGCCGGGGACCCTCCTGCCTCCAGCGCCTCCGTGTTGGGATTACTGGCGAGTGCTACCCGGGGCTTCATGGATGCTAGACAAGTTAGACAAGTGCTCTACCAACTAAGCTCCGTCCCCGGCTTCCTCCATCCCCTTGTTCAGTCATTTGCGGCACCTCTTCTGTCGTAAAGCCCTGAAGAGAGTGGCGAGCAAGGTTTACCCAGACCAGGGAGGCCACAGACAGGTCACGTTGGTTTGATACCCCGAGGAGAGTGAGAGTGAAGGTAGAGAGGACTTGGGTACCGAAGGAGGGGATCCTATGAAGAACTGGGCATGGGGCATCAAACACTGCTTCCAGCAATGAAGAGATGGGGAAACTGAGGCCTGAAGGAGTTTTCTTGGCTTGAGGAGAATTAAGGGGAAGTTGGAAGAAGTCAGGGTGTGTGTGTGGCTGTTCCAGGAAGAGAGAATAGCAAGTGTGCGTTGGTGAGGGTGTGGGGAGAGGCAGAGAGATGTGGGCGTGGGAGTCGGGGTGGGAGAGGAGAGTTGCCTGTGTTATGGAAGAGAATGCAGTGATCTTGAGCCAAGGACCGACTTCAACAAGGCAGGATAGATGGCCGGGTTGTAGAATTTGAATTTGTCTATGAGAACAAGAGCCTTGAAGATATTGAAACAGGAGTGGCACAACCATTTTATATATTTTTTTAAAGTTTTTTGAGGCGGGGTCTCCTACAGGCTGGTCTCACTGTTACTATGTAGTTTGTGATAGCCTCTTGATACCCCTCTCCTGGGGTTACAAGTGTGCACCGCCACACCCAGTTCCCGCGGTGCTGGGGTGAAGCCCAGGGCCCTGCATTGGTTGTGCAAGCACTGCCCTGAGGCGCGTCCCTGGTTTCTTGTTAAAGTAAACTACAGAAGCCGGGCGGTGGTGGCACACACCTTTAATCCCAGCACTCAGGAGGCAGAGACAGGCAGATCTCTGGAGTTTGAGGCCAGCCTGGTCTACAAGGCGAATTCCAGGATGGCCAGGGCTACACAGAGAAACCCTGTCTTAAAAAACCAAAGACAAATGGATGAATAGAATGTAGAAATTGAGGACCTACACGTGATTTAGTGGCACAGGTGCCATATTGGGAGGGGCTCATAAAAGGACATTAGCTGTAGTCAGTGGTGTGTGCTTGCCTAGCATGTGGAGGTCTCAAGTTTAATCCCTAGTCCTGCTGGGGGTAGTGAGGAAGGATACAGTGACGGGGAAGAAGCCCACTGATTTGAGACTGCTTTCACAACGAAAGGGTAATGACAGCAATTCTTGTGGTGATCTCGATTTCCGTTATTAGACGCACACACAGTTCCGCATAGGTGATGAAATTTTGTCAAATTAAGCAGACATGTGTGCATATACATAACACACACAAAGGAAATCCAAGTAGCTCTAGGCATGTCTGTGGACTGGAGGCATGGCTTGGCAGCCAAGAGCACTGCCTGGTCTTCCAGAGGACCTGGGTTTGATTCCCAGCACCCACATCTCTAACTTCAGTCCCAGGGGATCTGATGCCCACTTGTGGTTTTCTCAGGCACCAGGCAGATATGTGGTACACATGCATATGTATATAGGCAAACACTCATACACATAAAATAAACAGTGATTTTTTTTTTTTTTAAGGAACGCACATTGCTTTTGCACAGGATCCCAGTTTGGTTCCCAACACCCACCTAGAGCAGCTCACAACCGTCAGTAACTCCAGGGATCCACTGCCCTCTTCTGGCCTTTGTGGGTACTGCACTCATGTGCATCTTACAACCCCTGTTGTTTTGGGTTTTTGTTTTGTTCAAAGCAAGGGTGGAGAGGGTGTGTGTGTGTGTGTGTGTGTGTGTGTGTGACTATGTAGCTCTGGCTGTTTTAAAACTCACTGTGTAGACCAGGCTGGCCTTGAACTCACAGAGATCCACCAGCTTCTGCCTCCAGAGTGCCTCTAATCCCAGCACTTGGGAGGCAGAGGCAGGAGGATCTCTGTGAATTCAAGGCCAGCCTGGTCGACAAGAGCTAGTTCCAGGGCAGCCAAAGCTGTTACACAAAGAAACCCTGTCTCGAAAACCAAAAAGAAAAGAAATGAGAGAGAGAGAGAGAGAGAGAGAGAGAGAGAGAGAGAGAGAAACAAACTAGGGATCTCATAAAACGTAGGATTTCTTTTTCTTTTCTTTTTTTTTTTTTTTTAATTTTCGAGACAGGGTTTCTCTGTAGCTCTTGGTTCCTATCCTGGAACTAGCTCTTGTAGACCAGGCTGGCCTCGAACTCACAGAGATCTGCCTGCCTCTGCCTCCTGAGTGCTGGGATTAAAGGCGTGCGCCACCACCACCCGGCTTAAAACGGTGGGATTTCTGAATGAAGTCCCAGGTATAATAATACCCTATGGATAAATTACAGGCTTCATAATCTTGACCATCTCATACACAGATAGCACAGCACCTTGCTCAGATATGACCCCAGCACTCTCCCATATGTAATATAATTGGCACTGCTGCTGTTGTTGCACGTGCTTGTGTGCTTGTGTGGACGCACAAGGGAGTAAGAGCGCCCTTGTATATGTGCAGGTGCACTAACCTGTGTGGAGGCCAAAGGTTAACGTTGGGTATTTTCCTCTATTACTCTGTTTGTTTGTTTGTTTTTATTTTTCCTTTTTAAGATAGGCTCTCACTGTGTCCCTGGCTGTCCTGGAACTCTCCATGTAGACTAGACCAAGATGGCTTCAAACTCACAAGAGATCTGCCTTCCGACTGCTGGGGCTCTGTGCACTACCACACCCGGCTTCCACCTTAGTTTCTGAGACAGCATCTCTCGCTGAATCTGGAGCTTACAATTGCCCCCAGAACGGCTGGCCGGAGAGTCCCCTTGTGGTCCATCCATCTCCATCTCTCCAGCCCTGGGTTGCAGGCATACACTGTCGTGCTCAGTTTATTGTGTGGTGCTGGGGATCAGTGCTTGGGCCCTGATGTTTGCATAGTAAATACGTTACCCACTAAGCTATTTCCTCTACTCCGATGTTGCACAAAACTTTCCTACTGAGCCGGGCGGTGGTGGCGCACGTCTTTAATCCCAGCACTTGGGAGGCAGAGGCAGGCGGATCTCTCTGAGTTCGAGGCCAGCCTGGTCTACAAGAGCTAGTTCCGGGACAGGAACCAAAAAGCTATGGAGAAACCCTGTCTCGAAAATCAAAAAAAAAAAAATTCCTACTGAAATAAAATAGGTGAAGGGTCTTAGACTATATGACTATATATATATAATATATACGTATACATATATACATACACACATACATGCGCGCATTCCAATCTATTAGCATTTAAAGTTTAATTTAGAAAAGAAAAAAAAAAAACAAGGCCAGGTGACTCACACCTGTAATCCCACAATTTGGGAGGCAGAGGCAGGCGGACTGCTTCAAGTCTGGTGCCTGTTTGGGGCTCTAAAGTGAGTTCCCGGCCAGCCTGGGTTAACAAGATGAGACTTTGTCTCAAAAGCAAACAAAACAGAAAGGAAAAAAATGGATTAAGGAAGAGGGGGAAGAGGATGTGAGTGAGAGAAAAGGAGAGAGAGGAAGGAGAGAGAGGAGAAGAAAAGGGAAAATGGTCAGTGCCTAAAATCTCAGTGCTCACACAGAGGCAGGAGGATTATGAGTTCAAACCCATTCTTGGCTATGTGAGGCTGTCAAAAACCAGCACAGGGCCAGATATGGCTCAGTTCTTACCGTGCTTGCCTAGCATGAGGCACCACATGGTAGCTGAGGTAGGGGTGGAAGGATTAGGAATTTAAGACCACCCTTGGCTACACAGCAACTTCTTTCTTTTTTTTAATTTGACATTATTTCATGTGCATTGGTATGAAGGTGTCAGATCCCCAGGAATCAGAGTTACAGACAGTTGTGAGCTGCCATGTGGATGCTGGGAATTGAACCCAGGTCCTCTGGAAGGGCAGTCAGTGCTCTTAACCACTGAGCCATCTCTCCAGCCCTCACCTACATAGCAATTTCAAGTCTGGACTGGAATACATGAGTTCCTACCTCTAAATGAGAAGAAGAAAGGAAGGGAAGGAGGGAGGGAGGAAGGAAAGAAAGAAAATGAAAGAAGCGAGGAACACAGGCAAACACAAGGGTAGGAAGGACCGTCCCTAATGCAAGCTGAGAAGACTTCCCGGAGCAGGCGGTGCCTGACTCATCTGATGGAGGAGGTAGAACAAGATGAACCCTTTATTATTTGCCGGTCCTTCTCCCCTCTGATGTCCCCACGACTCTTTCTTTTGCAGTCTTCTATGAGCTCTGCGTCACTTTCCTCTCGAATGAAGAGCGGGTCGGCCTTGGAGACGCCGGAAGCTGAGATGCTGCGGGAAGTGTACCTGGTACTCTGGGTCATTCGCAAACAGCTGAGAGAGCTGGCCCGCAGGCAGGAGAGGCGCAGGCGGGGCCACATGCGGTCCCACGCGTCCCACACATCCCACCACTCCGACCCAGTGCAGGGCCTCAAACAGGACGCCCGAAGTCCCCTCTAGGCAGGGGAGCCCCAGATCCTTAGAAAGCCCCCGACTCACTCTTAAGGAAGGTTGGCAGGTGGGGTTCAAGGCCATCGGGCCAGAGTTGCTGGTGAGGAGACCTTTGACCATACTGTCACCTCTCATCGGAAGCCCAAGACCAGGCCTGGGGTCGAACATACTCCCCTTCTCTGTGTTTGTTCGATTTGTGAGAGAAAAGATGATCTAAATATTGAGGAATAAATAGCAGATGTTTCTGAACAGGTGGAATTTGTGTTCATGAAGAAGAGAGGCCGGAAGGGGCGTTTGGGGCGCGGTAGAGAGAAACTCCCACTGAGTGGGGGGCACAGTTGTGCCTGGGAGTAGATCCTAGGTCTCTTTTTGCATATGTCAGAGATGGACAGGTCCTGTTCTTATATCCGCACCTCTCCTAGGAGCTGAATTGCCTTTAAGTGCTCTGCCTGGCCAGTAACCATAGCAACAGCATCCATTCATGGAGCAGCAGCTATGCCCACGGGGCAGCAACCCTGGCTTTTCTCCCTCGCAATTCCATAAGATAGGGTGGTCTAGGAATCCATCCAAGGCCCTCCAGCTAAGGATGTCCATGTGGGGGTGTGGGGGTACCAGAAAAGGGTGTTGGGTACTTTCAAGTTGGAGTTACAGGCAGGTGTGAACCACCCAGTGTGGGTGCTGGGGGTCAAACTCCAATCCTCTGCAAGAGCAGCAAGCGCCTTAACTGTTGATCCGTCTCCAGCTTTGTCGCTGAGACGAAGTCCCTCGTCGTCCCATCTGGCCGCCCATTATGTATGTGGGATGAGACAGTCATCCTGCCAACTGAGCCACATCCTCAGCTGCCCGCTCTGCTTTTTAATCATTTTCAATTACACGTGTACTTCCTTATTTTGTTGGCATCGTATGCATGTGGGTGTGTGCCATGGTGTGCCAGTGACTGGGTGTCAGCTAGGAGAGATGGGTTCTCTCTTCCCACTGTGTAGATCGCAGGCGTGGATCCAGGTTGTCAGGCTTCGTGGTGGGCACTTCTGCCTGGGTAGGCCATCCTGTCGCTCAGGCTGGGCTCCAACTCAACACGCAGCTTGAAGATGACCTTGAACTGCCTGTTCCTTCTGCCAGAGAGAGACCGACCTCTTGTGTGCTGGGGTGACAAGAACGTGACGTCATACCAGGCTTGGATGTTGGATGCCCGACTGGGGCTGTAGGAGATTCTTCTGCTGGGACAAGTTTTGGTCCTGCTCTCTGTGCCCTCCTGAGAGCCTTGGACAGCAATGCTTCCCAGGGTTGTCTGGAAGCCATGTGGGCTCTGAGCAGGGTTGGGGAGGCATGGGGGTCAGGGTGGACTGAGGAGGCCAAGTAGGAGCTGTGAGCCATTAGCTGAGATGGTGGACTATCCTGTGAGGGGGTGCATAGGAACCGAGAGGGAGATGCAGGCGGAAATAAGAGGTGGCGTGGCACCCTGGGGACACAGTTCTGCCCCACCCCTTTCTCTCTGCTCGTCCACTCACAGGCAGACGTTAGGGTTCAAAGGGCTTGGGGCTAAAGAAGCAGCATGTTCGTTGGGTAAAAGAGAAGAGGGAGAGAAGGGAAGAGAGGAGACAAGGAAGGCTGGTAGCTGTACTGGATAGCGATTCAGAAAGTCACAGGTGGGGTTGCAGCTCAGCTGGTAGAGGGCTTACCTAGTGCACACAGGCCTTGGGTCCAATCCCCAGCTCTGTACAAATTAGGCAAGGCAGCATGTTCCTGTCATCCCAGGACAGGGAGGCAGAGGTGGGAAGATCAGAGGGTCAAGGTCAGACTACCTAGAGTGAGAACCTAAGTTTGAATCCCCAGCACCCCTGTAAAATGCCAGGCACAGCGGCGGCATGTATCAGTCAGTCAATCTAGCAGAATGGGCAAGCTTCAGATTCACCAAGAGACCGTTTCCAAAAATAAGGCGGAGGCCCAGGAGATGGCTCAGCAGGTAAAGGCAGCTGCCATTGAGCCTGACAACCTGAGTATGATTCCGGGGACCCACATGGTGGAAGGAGAAATGACCCCCACAATTCAAGCTGTCCTCTGACCTCCATCTGCATATGGTTTGTGCATGCTCACTCACACACACACACGAAGGTTTGTGCATGCTACTACACACACACACACACACACACACACACACACACACGGGCACCACAGCAAGGGAAGCATAAAGGGTAGCAGGCAGGGATGGTCTGATAGAATCAACTAGGAAACCCAGGCGCTAGCCACCCCAGCCGTTCTCAACCTGTGGGTCCCGACTCCTTTGGGGGAGGGGTGGTGTCGAATGACCCTTTCAGAGGGGTCACATATCAGATCTCCTGCATAGCAGATGTTTACATTACAGTTCATAACAGTCGAGCCACACCCCCAAGCTCTCCCCCCCCCCCCCCCCCCCCCCGCCATGTGTGTGTGTATGTGTGTGCACGTGAATGTTCAGGGACGTGAGCATACTTGTGCACGTAGAGGCAATAGATCTCTGGTGTCATCCTCAGCCACGCCCCACCTGGGTTTTTTTTTTTTTTCCGTTTTGGTTTTGGTTTTTCTAGGCAGGGTTTCTCTGTAGCTTTGGAGCCTGTCCTGGAACTAGCTCTTGTAGACCAGGCTGGCCTCGAACTCTCAGAAATCCGCCTGCCTCTACCTCCTGGGAGTTAGTGCTGGGATTACAGGCGTGCACCACCATGGCCCAGCACATCTTTTTTTTTTTTTTTTTTCCAGGACCCGGGGCTTGCCCATTTTGCTAGGCTGGGTGGCCTTCAAGGGTCCTACCTGTTTTTTCTTCTCCAGCACTAGGTTTACAAATGTATGTCACCATCGGGAGGTAGAGGCAGGCGGATCTCTGTGAGTTCGAGACCAGCCTGGTCTACAGAGCTAGTGCCAGGACAGGCTCCAAAGCCACAGAGAAACCCTGTCTCGANTTTTGCTAGGCTGGGTGGCCTTCAAGGGTCCTACCTGTTTTTTCTTCTCCAGACCAGCCTGGTCTACAGAGCTAGTGCCAGGACAGGCTCCAAAGCCACAGAGAAACCCTGTCTCGAAAAAAAACCAAAAAAAAAAAAAAACCAAAAAAAAAAAAACAACCCAAATGTATGTCACCATACCCAGCTCTTTACACAGGTGCCAGGGATTGAATTTAGGTCCTCATGATTGCACAGCAAGCTAGCCCTTTACTCCCTGACTGAACATCTCCCCAGCCACCCCCAATACACACATACTTCTTTAAAAAATGTTGTACTATGTATAAAGGTGTTTTGCTTACTTTTGTCTGTGCACCACGTGCATGCATGGTACCCAGATTAGAGCTCCAGTTGGTTGTGAGCTGCTGCAGAATGCTGGGAACCAAACCCAGGTCCTCTAGAAGAGTAGTCCATGCTTGCGACTAGTGAGCCATCCCTTTAGCCCCGTATGTGTGTGTGTGTATGTGTAAATATATATACATACACACATATGTACATATACACTGCTTTTTTGGGGACAGGGTTTCTCTGTTGTAGCTTTGGAGCCTGTCCTGGCACTCGCTCTGTAGACCAGACTGGACTCAAACTTACAGAGATCCGCCTGCCTCTGCCTCCCGAGTGCTGGGATTAAAGGTGTGAACCACCAGCACCCGACTCAGCCCCATACTTTTAAAAAGACATATTTTCACTGTAGCTCAGGTTAGCCTGGAACTCTCAACCCTTTAGCCCCAGCCTTCTTGGTGGTGGGGTCATAGAGATTATATACCTGGTTCTCCTTTTATTTTGAGACAGGGTCTCACTAAATTGCTCAGACTGGCTTTGAACTTATCAGTATCCCAGGCTGATCTCAAAGTCACTATGAAAACAGGATGACTTTTTAAACTCCTGACCCTGTAAGAGTCTACCTGCCTAAGCCATGCCCTCAGTCTCGGGACTCTCCACTCTTGAGACCTGAGGTTCCCAGTGAAGCTATGTCTAAGACATTGTGGCTGATCCCAGATCTCCAAACTCTGGGATCCCTTAAGTGCCACAGCTACCTGGGTCTGGGCGGTAGCTCTTGTAATTTCAGCTATTCCAGAGGCAAGGGGCTTAAACCCAGGAAGAGGGAGGGAGGGAGAGAGAGAAGCAGTTTCAGAGTCTACACAGAGGGTCCAGTAGGGCCAAACAGGCAGGCCCAGGCAGTCAGCGGTAAATAACATTGCAGGTAACGACGGGCCCAGGAACTGGCTTTGGGCCAGCAGCTGTGGGCTGGTGGAAAGGAATACCATCCTCACTTGTCCTTCAGCATCAAGAGTGGGAGGCAGATGAAGGACAGCCAACCCAGCCAGCAGCCTTGCGAGCTTCTGGGCATCTCACCTGGCTCCTTCCGTAGTCCTGTCTGAGCTTGGCCAAGCAGGGGCAGGGAGGCTTGTGAGAGCAATGGGGGTGGGGATGGATGGGTCCCGTGTGTAGAACTTGCTTTTTCTCAGGCTACCTAGTTGGTCTCCAGGCACAGAGCCCTAGAGAGAGAACTAGAGCTATCAGAGGAGGGCTGACAGGAGGGAGAACATCCTGGGTCTTCTAACTGCAGAGATAACTGCAAGGATTGAAAGAAAGGTACCTTTTCTGTCCCTTCTCCCCCTCCCTCATTCTTCTGCCTTCTTTTAAAAAATTAATTAAAAATTTATGCGCGTATTTTTGAGATCAGGTCTCTTATAGCCCATGTTGGCTACTCCCTAGTAGCTGAGGATGACCTTGAACTCCCTACCCTTCTGCCTCCACCTCCCAAGTGCTGGGCTTACAGGCACAGGCAGGTAAGGAATACCATGCTTGACTTTTAAAAGCTGTGCTGGGGACTGAACCCACTGCTTTATGCATGCTCTATAAACACCCTTTCAACTGAGCTACTCCCCAACATCTCCCCATTCCTTTCCAGACACGGTCTCCCCATGTATCCCAGGCTGGAGTCAAACTTGCAGCCCTCTTTAGTGTTCAGACTGCTGGGGCTACTGGCGTGCACCACTACACCTGAAAAACTCCTCTCTGCTTCCTTAAGATTTCCCACCGTCCACTGACCACTCCTCTGCTTACCCAGGCATGTCTAACCTTCTGACTTTGTGATGTTGTCATCTACAGATGTGTTGAGCCACGTTCCTGGCTGTCTTGGAACGCATCTGGCATGTAGACTGCAGGTTGGACATACTTATGGGCTTAAATCTTTCAGTAGCTATCTGTCATCCTTGCGGGGGGCGGGAATCCAAAGAATATCTTTGTCCAAAACATCCTCTCCCACCCAGTATGGTGACCAGCGCCTGTCATTTCAACATTTGAGAGGCTGAAAGAAGATTGCAAGTTCAAAAGCATGCTGGGCTATTTGGTAAGTTTAAGGCCAGCCTAGGGTACAAAGCAGAGCCCTGTCTCATTAAAAAACTAAAATCTTGGGCTCAGCAGTTACGAGCATCGTCTGCTTTAATCGCGGATCCAAGTTCGTTCCCCAGTTTGTTGGCCACTCACAACCTACTGCAACTCCAGTTCCAGGTGGTCTGACACCATTTTTTGTCCTGTCGGGGCACCAGACACACATCTGGTGTACATTAAATAAAAATATTTTTTTTTTAAAAAAAATTAAAGCCCTTCTCTCAGATCCAGGTGCTAGTTCTTCTTCATGAACTCTCCTAAACCACGTGATCCAACGATCAGAAAAGTCCAACTCAGAGGGATGGTGGTGGCACACGCCTTTAATCCTAGCACTCGGGAGGTAGAGGCAGGCAGATCTCTGTGAGTTCGAGGCCAGCCTGGTCTACAGAGAGAGTTCCAGGACAGCCAGGACTACACAGAAAAACCTTGTCTCAAAACCAAACAATCAAAAAGAGGAAAGAGGTCCACCTCAGAGTCACCCGCGACTGGGCTTTAGTTTTTCATGGTACGTAACATATCTGAAGTTACATTTTCCATCCAGAAAATGGAGTCACTGGTACCAGCCGTAATCAAGAAGAAGGAAGGGGGGCTGGAGAGATGGATCAGTGGTTAAGTGCTGGGATTAAAGGCCTGCGCCACCACCACCCGGCTCTCTGGCTCTCTGTCAGAATTCTTGACACATCTTTCATCTGATGCTGGAACAGTGAAATGGGAACTGGGCAGGATGTTGCAAAGGACATGCAAGGGAGGAGAGAGAGGTTGAGAGCCAGGATGTGAGGGAAGGAAGACAGGGAAAAGATGCAGCCCAAGGCCACCCTGGTGGGCACCTTTTGTTGTTGTTGTTGTACTGGGAAAATGCTCTGCACTGGGCAACATCACAGGACCCCTCCTTAAATTTTAATTTAACTTATCTATTTTTAGATGTGAGTTTGGGCTAACTCATGCTATGACATGTGTGTGTTTGTGTGTGTAGGTCAGAGGACAACTTGCTGGAGTCGGTTTTCTCTTTCCACCATGTGGTTCCCAGGGATCAAATCCAGGTTGTCAGTCTTGGCAGCAGGCACCTTTGCTCGCTGAGCAATCTTTAATCCCAACACTTTGGAGGCAGAGGCAGGTGGATCTCTGAGTTCAAGGCCAGCCTGGTCTACAGAGCGAGTTCCAGGACAGCCTGAGCCACCCTGAGAACCCATGTCTTGAAAAACCAAAAAATAAAAAAAATAAAAAAATGTGGAAAGTAAAACTAATTAAATATCTATAACACACACACACACACGAACTATCTTGAGTTCTCCTAATAAGTCATTTATTGCCTACCTCTTGCGTTTGCCCTAACATCCTGGAGACTCTCAGATAAAATCTTTTTAGAAAAGTTCAAGCAGTTTGCACTGACGCGAAGGTTTGAGAACGTCACTGGATTAAATCTGAGCTCTGTGGCAGAGGTGGCCTCTCTTGGCTGCGACTCCATTGCCTGATGTTCCCACCCAGGTACTTGAGAAATACCTGGACTTACGACTTTCTTTGTTCTTTGTTGATGTAAAATCTTGATGTCACTGTTGCCACATTGGAACGTGGTGTTCGGAGGTAACCTGGATCTGACTCTGGACCATGGTCACTCCTTTTCTGGCTTCAGAATAAAACACCTCATTACCTTTAAGATGCGAGCTGTGTTGTGCATTAGGGGGGAACCTTTAGGTCACAGAATTATTCTACTGTATGCAATGTGCAGCGATCAGCCTGCTGTCACAGCCATCAGCATTAGTTAGTATGTGTGGTATACTCGTGTGTGTGCACCTGTGTTTTCTGGTGCAGGTGCCACATGCATGTGTGTGCACCTGTGTGTTCTGGTACAGGTGCCACCAGCATGTGTGTGCACCTGTATGAAGCACGATTAATAACTCAGGATCAGAAATTGGGGTTCAACCTGAATATCCAAAAAGCAAAAACAGTCAGCCACTGGCTCTTACCTTGACCTCAGTCTGAAATGGTGATCCTGCCTGTAGGAATCTCAGAATGAGACTGTGTTTCTGAGAGCGGTCTCTCCCTGTCTTATATTCCTATCTGGGGCTAGGATTAAAGGCATGCACCACTAGGATTAAAGGTGCATATCATTATGGCTACTGAGATTAAATGTGCGTGTTACCATAATCTGGTCTGTAAGGCTGACCAGTAAGAATGTTTAAGTCTCAGATCTTCAGGCAAGCTTTATTTATTAAAGTACAATTGAAATGTATGTTCAGGTGCAGGTACCACATGCATGTGTGCGTGTGTGTAGTGATGAACACCAGATGTCTTTATCACGTCACTGCCCATTTTATTTGTTAAGACAGGGACTCAACATGAACCTGGAACTCAATGTTTTGGAGTACTACAGGATTCTTTTTTTTTTTTTTTAAGATTTATTTATTTATTATGTATGCAGTATTCTCAGTATTCTGTCTACAGGCCAGAAGAGGGCACCAGATCTCATTATAGATGGTTGTGAGCCACCATGTGGTTGCTGGGAATTGAACTCAGGACCTTTGGTAGAGCAGGCAGTGCTCTTAACCACTGAGCCATCTCTCCAGCCCGTGGAACTCAATGTTTTGGGTAGGCTGTCTGTCTGATGAGCCCCCGAGACTCATCAGTCTTCACCCTTTATCACTGGGGTTACAGACATTGCACCTGGCTTTTCTTTTCTTTCTTTTTTTGGTTTTTCGAGACAGGGTTTCTCTGTGGCTTTGGAGCCTGTCCTGGAACTAGCTCTGTAGACCAGGCTGGCCTCGAACTCACAGAGATCCGCCTGCCTCTGCCTCCCGAGTGCTGGGATTAAAGGCGTGCGCCACCACCGCCCGGCCTGCACCTGGCTTTTCCATAGATGCTGGGGATCCAAACTCAGGTTCTTTATGGGGGTAGAGGGTTCTAGATAGGGTTTTTCTGTATAACCTTGGCTATCCTGAAATTCAATCTTGTAGAAGAAGTTATCCTCGAACTCACAGAGATCCGCCTGCCTCTGCCTCCTGAGTGCTGGGATTAAAGGTGTGCGCACCACCACCTGGCTCCGAACTCAGACTCTCATGTTTGTGCAGTAAGCACTTTATTCATGAGCCACCTCCTAGTGCGCTCCACCTCTGGCACTTCTGGCGTTCCTGTCTCCTGGGTGTCACCTCTGGATTACGGCATGCCTGCGTTTTCTAGGGAGCTGCAGTGGGGCCCATTACTGATGGCCTTTTGGGTAGATCCTTGAGCAACCCTTTAACACGAATTCTCTGAGTTCTACGCTTGCTCCCTGCCCCTGCTCAAGGGATGCAGCCTCAGCAGGTGTTTAACTTATGACCACCTAGATCCTCCACAGAGATGAAAGCTCTGTTGTTTTATTGTTAAAGAACCACAGAACCAGGCAATGTTGTAGCTGGCGGTTCCTTTCTCTGTCTCCTAAGAGAATAAAATGTGAAGATTAAAAAAAAATCATATTGTCTCCAGCCATGGCGGTGCACGCCTTTAATTCCAGCACCTAGGAAGCCAAGGCAGGAGAATCTTCAGAGTGAGTTCCAGGACAGTCAGAGATGCGTACTGAGGCCCTGTCTCAAGCAAATGAACAAGCGAAGAATTAATACAGAAAGGTTTCTACTCTCCTATATTCCCTCTCCCCTTAGCTCTTTTTAGTTATCTTTTCTCTCTCTCTCTTTTTTTTTTTTTTTTTTAAAACTCAGGTTGGCCTCAGACTCTCTGAGTGCTGAGGACGACCTTGACCTCCTGATCTGCCTCCTCCTGTGCTGCTTCCTACAGACTGGTATTACAGTTTCGTATTACCACAGCTAAACTTTTATTGTTTCTGAACTGTGTAAAAGAAACTACACGCTGTGTGCCTTTGCAGATTGGCAGGAGGATCGCCTGCTCCAGCAGCTGCCCTGTACCAATAATTCGTTCCCTAGTATTGCTTGGTGCTATTTTATGATATTTATATACCACGTTTTAACCCTTTATCTGTTGAAGGCTATTACTAGTCTGGGGCTGTAAGGGGAGGTGAACACGTGTGTACAAGTTATCAATAGCCCAAGGCTATAGAATCAGAGGTCACAATTTTGGGTTTTATTTAACTGGGTCTCTCATAGCCCACAGTGTCCACCAAGTCCCTATGTAGCCAAGGCTAGCCCTGAATTCCTGATCCGTTTCTGCTTTCGACTCCCAAGCTGTCATTGCTTCTCAGGTCTTTTGTCGTGCGTGGGAGGATTAGGATGTGGATTTTACTAGTGTGTGTTGAAGTGCCGTCAGAGGACAACTTATGCGAGTCAGTTCTCTCGTTCCACCCCGTGTGAGCCTGGAATTGAGCTCAGATTGTCAGGCTAGGTGGCAAGCGCCTTTAACCTTGGAGCCATCTTTCCGGCCACCAGGATGTGGACGTAAAGTGCTATTTCCTAAATTCCTATAGCATTTCCTACTCAAATACAAGAGTTCAGGGACTTTGCACGAAGCCCGCTCCGATCGGTGTTCAGAAGTGACCGAAGCCGTCAGGAACGCTGTGGGGACACCGCACAGGACGTCCAGATACGAGAGCCGTGACCATTTTGTTTCGGTGAAAGAGGACTAACACTGTAATCCCAGAACAAACGCGAAGAAGATTCTGACAGGTGAGAACGCCACATCCGCGTTCCCGAAAGGACAAGTAGACTTTCTGGGGATCCGTAGGGTATCTACGCACTGGCGCCCTAAGGCCCCGCCTTAAGGGCGAAGTCGGTGTGTGAGGGCGGAAGTGTGCCCGGAAGCTGGAGGGTGAAGCGATGGGAATGACACCCAGGAGCACCAATGGGGTGTCGCGGCGGGCTTGTTGTTACTCCGATGGGTAAGGGCTAACGGTTTCCGGTAGTGGCAGCCCCCCGAGGGGTCGGAGGAAAGAGGCGACCGGGACCCCAGCAGCGACGGCGAGATGCTGGGCTACGGGGCGTCCGAGTTGGAATCTATGGAGGGCGAAGAGGCCGTGGAGGCCCCGGGACCAGCCCCGGAGCCGCGAGCCCCGGAGCCGCGAGCCCCAGAGCCCGAGCCGGGCTTGGACTTGAGCCTGAGCCCGAGCCCGTTGCCCGAAAGTCCGGAGCGGCGGGGCGGCAGCCCGGGACGGCGGAAGGGGCGGCGGGGCGGCGGCCGGAGGGGGCGGCAGGTGAGCGGCGGCGTGGCCCGGCCCCTCGCTGGCTAAGCGTGCGGGACTCCTCTGCTCACCGTTCCGCCCTCTGCTCTCAGGTTCGATTCCACCTGGCGCCGTCCTCCCCGGTCCGCTCCGAGCCGCTGCTCGCGGCCGGTTCCCCAAGCGACGATCCCGCGGCGCCGCAGCCGCTGGAGGTGGCGGCCCCGCAGAGCAGCCTGGCCCTGAGTCTGGAGCTGCAGAGCGCGCGCGCCGCCGTCGCCGGCGGCCAGTTTGATGCCGCGAAGGCGGTGGAGGAGCAGCTGCGAAAGTCGTTCCAGACCCGCTGCGTGGTGGAGGAGACGGTGGCGGAGGGTGAGGGGGGCAGGCGCCCGGCCCCGGCGGCGGTTTTCTGAGTGAAGGGCGCTGCTCACCCACCCCCGCCTCTCGTGCGCTCGCAGGGTTGAACGTGCCGCGCTCTAAGCGGCTCTACCGAGACCTGGTGAGTCTGCAGGTGCCGGAGGAGCAGGTTCTGAACGCGGCTCTGAGGGAGAAGCTGGCCATGCTGCCACCCCAGCCCCGAGTCCCGCCGCCCAAGGTGAAGGAAGGGATCCAGGGACCCGGGCTCCTCTCCCTGGGCTCTTCCTCCACCCCGAGTGTAACCTTGCGTTGGGCCTTACCTTCCAACAGGAGGCGCTCGGGCCGGGGCCAGACATGACCATGCTGTGCAACCCAGAGACTCTGTATTATGAGGCTCCGCACTTGACAGTGGACGGACTGCCCCCGCTAAGGCTTCAAGCCCGGCCCCGCCCTTCAGAAGATACCTTTCTCATGCACCGGATGCTGAGGCGCTGGGAAGCGTAGCCCTCAACGCTCTGTACTGCTAGTCTGTACTTCTGTTAAAGTTGTTTCCTCATAGAATAAAGTTAGTTCGTTTTTTTTTTTTTTTTTTTTTTTTTTTTTTTTTTTTTTTTTTTTTTTTTTTTTTTTTTTAAAAGGCAACTTTGCTCCTAGTTGGAAGCTGTGTGTAGGTGAGAATTTTCTCCCCCCTCAGTGATGGCAAGTGGAAAGCACTAAGTGGGGTCAGACTTAAGTCACCTGTCTTCTGATTATAATTAGAATTTGAGACTTAGCTTTACATTATGGTGCCAAGTCCTAGGGTTTGGGAGGCCGAGCATTAGAATCCTGTGTTCAAGGAGTTTGAGCTAAGTGGTTTCAGGCTGGGTAGGTTCAGCTCCGTGGTAGCATTTGGTTAAGTATGTACAAAGCCCTGGCTTCAATCCCCAGAGTATGTGTGCAGCGTGTGCACAAACACTAGTCAAAGCGCGTTGGTTTCCACTTTGGCTGGGTATGGTGAGGAACACTTGTGAGGGAGACACAGCAAGAGCAGGAGCTCCCGGCCCACCTTAGGTTAGGGGATACCGGCTCAAAAACCACAACAAAAATGCACCCCCTTACACACTCTGCTCCATTTTTTTTTTTTTTTTTTTTTCTAGACAGGATTTCTCTGTAGCTTTGGAGCCTGTCCTGGAACTAGCTCTTATACACCAGGCTAGCCTCAAACTCAGAGATCCACCTGCCCCTGTCTCCTGTGTGCTGGGATTAAAGGCGTGTGCCACCACAGTCCGGCTATTTTGATTTTTCAAGACAGGGTTTCTCTGTGTAGCTTTGGAGCCTGTCCCAGAACTAGCTCTTGTAGACCAGGCTGGACTTGAACTCAAGAGATCCGCCTGCCTCTGCCTCCTGAGTGCTGGGATTAAAGGTGTCAGTCACCATAGCCCGACAATTTTTAATCTGTCTCTTTATCGCTGGTTGTCTTGAAACTCATTTAGACCAGGCTAGCCTTGAACTCAGATTTGCCTGCCTCTGCTTCCCAGGCAGAGGATTAAAGGCCTGCATCACAACATCTGGTTATTCAAATACTTCTAAACAAAAGTATTTACCCAAATGAGGATGTTATCATTTAATTGCTCCACAGGAGACTGTCCAGGCTTCATTTGTGTATTACCCATGTCCAACAGAACAGTGCTGAGAGTTCAATGTCCAAGGTTACAGGAACCCTTGACAAAGCAATGGAGACCTCCACTTTGCAACCACCCAAACATCTCATTCTACCAGCGGTCCTGAAGCAGGTTTGTGCCTCTGGACTGGTACCTATCTAGAGCTCTATTTTACCCCTGCTGCCAAGCCCTCAGCCTTCTGCATCACACTCCCGTAAATACACACTTGTCTGCGGTTTCTTTAGAAGGAAACTAAGTTGGACTCAATAAGCTACATACCAAAATTTGCTCTACCCCTCCCCTCTTCTTCAGCAGTAAGGGTACCGGCTAGTTTTATGTCAACTTGACACAAGCTGGTGTTATCAGGAGGGAGCCTCAACTGAGAAAATGGCTCTATAAGACCAGGCTATAGGCAAGTATGAAGGACATAGTGATTGATGGAATAAGGCCTGGCCCATTGTGGGTGGAACAATCCCTGAGCTGGTGGTCCTGGGGTCTATAAGAAAGGCTAAGCAAGTTTTGAGGGACAAGTCCGTAAGCAGCATCCTTCCATGGCTTCTACATCAGCTGCCTCCAGGTCCCTGCCCTTCCCTTAATGATGAACTGAGATGCGGATGTAGAAACTGAATATAAACTCTTCCCCAAGTTTCCTTGGCCATAGTGTTCATCACAGGAGTATCAACCCTAACTACAACAGGGACTAACAGTCTTCCACCCCTACAGGATATCGCTCCATTATGTAGCCCACCCAGGCTGGCCTCAAACCTCAAGATCAGCCTGCCTGTACCACAACCAGCAAAATTCACCCCACGAGATTCCTGCTAAGAGGTACCATCCCACCAGAAAGCACCAGACACAGGTGCAGGGGCCACTGCCCTAGTTACCAAGTTTATTGTGCTGTTCTCACATTCCAAACCCAGCTCCCTCTCCCACGGGGGACAGCAGAAGGAAGGATTTCACAGTACCTGTGTCTCCTTAACAAACTTCCCCTCTAACACCCTTAGTCCATCCATGGTCCACTTAAGTGCAGCTAGGAACAAAGGCTGAGAAGCAGGAATCTCCTTCGGAGAACAGGAGGAAGGGCTAGATAATTTGACATTCCCCCTTCCCATGCCCTAGGAGGACAGAGTCAGCAAACAGTCCATGCCATCCAGCCCAGCAGGCTGGGAGAGGAAGCTGATGTAATTCCAGCACAGCTGGGCTTACTCAAGTGCCAGAGGTGTTGGGGAGAAGACTTGGGGAAGCAACTTAAGAAAAGCTCTCTTTACAAATCCAAGAAAAGAAACTTTTTGGAGTTAGACAGGAAAGACCTTGGGATAATTTCCTCTTCCCCCAGGTCTTCAGAGCAGCAAGGGCAGCCTCCTCACACCTTCTGTTCAGAAGGCCACTTAGTGGCTGGGGGACCGGGCCTTGTGGAACAAGTACACAGGACGCTGGAAGCCTGGAAAAAGCACACAAGGCAGGTGGGTAGGACCTTGACAGTCTCCACAGGGCTAGCACCTCCCCCGAGCGAAAAGCCAGCCATTCTTACCTCTGGAGGTGTTACTTGGTGTGGCCACAAGCTCATAGCTGGAGAAGCCCACCTCTGGGGACGTCAGGTAGGAACTGAATTGTTCTGGCTTCAGCTGGATTCGAAAGTAGTTCTTATAGATTGTTTCCTGGGGAAACAGGGAAGTGGAGAGTCAAATTTAGCTCACCACCTCTTTCCCTGGCCAAGAATGACATCCTTTTGTCTTTGCGCAGCAAGTCTGAGCTGGGTAGGGTGGTCCACACCAGCCACCTCAGGTACTTAGAAGGCTGAAGCAGGAGGATGAAAAGTTCAATACCAGCCTGCAATACAGAGCCAGCTCAGGGCAGCAGCTTAGCTAGGATCAAAATAAAAAAAGGTCTGATCCCAGCCTGGTCTATAGAGCAAATTCCAGGACAGTCAAGGCTACACAGAAAAACCCTGTCTAGAAAAACAAAACAAATCGAACCCCCAAAACAATGTAGCTCATTGGTAGAGAGACCACTTTCCCTGCCATGTGCAAGGTCTGGGCTTAACCACCAGGAAAATAAAAACATGACTATCCCATCTCCACAGAAACCCAACTCACCGTGAGAGACTTTCTCCTGCAGTAGGACGACCATGGTTGGGGCTCCAGGACCAGAATGCCCCCGGGGCGCAGATGCCGGTAGATCCGGCGGAACATGCGCTTTAGCCCCTCGTCTCCCCAGTTCAGGTGCACCCACTTGGTGAGGCTGAGGCAGAGCACCACATCATACTCAGGTCTTTGGGCATCCACCAGCTCATCTCGGTCCAGGACATAGTTACCCTAAGGGCCAGAGGAGGGCAAAGAGGTCAGAAGGAGGGACGAAGGACCAATGGCCCACAACCACCTGCAGACTCTGAGACAAAGTCCGACACACAACCTCACGTGGGCTCTGGTGGCCCTCTTCTCTGAGGCTCGTCCTGCCAGCGCCTTCTGTCAGTCTCATGTTCTCTCTTCTCCCTTTTCTGGTGCCAAACCAAACACACCTAAAAGGGAGCCTGGGCAGATTAAATCTAACTACTCATCTGAGGGTAACTGAGGAATACTGGAATGCTCCCGAGACCCCAGCCCAGGGGACCTCATATACACAGGCGGTGGTTCTAAAGACAGGGCGGCTCCATATAGGCTCTTCAGTGGGCTCTAATGTTTCAGACCTATCCTTTCTCCAATGAAGTGAAAGACTTAGGAAGCTCTGGAAGGTAAACTCATCACTACTTCCCAGGAAGGCATTTTTTTCAGGCTAAGCCATGTACACATATTCCTCTGGATGGGCTAACAACTGCTCAATGGAGAAAGCTAGTGGAGACAGGGACACATGCTCTATCAGGCTGGGAACTCTCCTCTCCTGCTATTCAGAGTCAGCATGGAAAAGACCGAAAGCCAAGCCTGCTGGTTCCTGAACAGTAACTTAAGCAGTGTGTGCTGTATCCAGGGAAACAAAAAGCAGCTGATGCAAATGAGGCCCCTACTAAAGACCCCAAACGGTACATGTATTGGAGTGCCACCAGTCTCCCCCAAAGACACTCAATCTCATGCTCCCTCAGATGTGAGGACAAAGTTCTACCTGGACAGAGCAGTAGAGGTTACTCTCAAGGGAAGGTGGACTGTCTGGATTATAGTCCCCACCCATATTGGGGCTGAGATCCTTGAATTCAGGAGAAAATACCAGGTGTTAGAGCCTGAAGGTAGAGATCCCACTTTCCAGGTTATATAGGAGGAGAGACAACACCCCCAGTAGATTCTCTGGCCAATCCAGACTGTTCTCTCCAGGAGATGGTTCTTGTAGGAACAGATGCAGGAATATACCTCTAGGTCATGACCTTCCCCCCAACACATTCCTATTTAATCTCATCTTCACACTTGGACCCTATTCCAAGAGCCTTTGGACTCTCTTACCGTGACGAAGACAACATTGTTGGGGAAGACAGATGTGTCTGCTCCATCCAAGGGCACTTGGGGTGCAGCAATGGGACCCCGGCTGGCTGTCAGTGAGGCTGGGAAGCAGCTCCTTTTTCGGACGGTGGCAGTCCCTTCTGTCCCTGGGTCACCCTCAGAAGTCTGGGCTTGGAGACGAAGCTCCTCGGACAGGTAGTGTCGGATATTTTGGCGGGCAGAGTGGATAAGCTGTGGATCAATGTCCAGCCCAACCATGCGGGCTGGGCCCCACTTGCAGGCAATACTTAGGGTCAGATGGCCAACATTGCAGCCCAGATCTAGGACGTCCCGGCCTTGAAACCACTCTGGCTTCAACACCCTAAGGCGCACGTCCTCACAGGAAGGATTGCGATAGCCATAGTATTTGCAGTAATTCCCATACTGGAACTTTTGCTGTTGCTTTTTGAAGCCAGTTGCAGGTGGTGGGTGGTGATGGCGGCCTCCCCCACTCCCTCTGCCCTTTTCCTTGGAACCCTGGCTTCCACCCCTAGCCCCTGCCTCCGACTTGCTGGAAGTCCTGCGGCGTTTGCGGTGTCGGGAGGAGGAAGATGAGGGTGCAGAGGTAACTGAGGCAGCTGGAGGGGCAGAAAGGGAGCCTGAGGAGCCCTGCAGGGCAGACGGAAGGGGAGACACAACTTCGTCCCTGCAGTTGATGGCTGTGTTGAGTTCATAGGGTTGAGGGGCATCGCGGTTCTGGCCTCTGTGCTGCTGCTGCGTGGCACCCTCCCCTTGAAGTGAGGGGGTGAGAGGGTCAGCGGGCAGCACGGCGTGGCTATCGTTACCTCCAGACGCCTGCTGCTGCTGGTGGTGCGGTCCCCGGTGTCTATGGCGCTTGCGACCGATCTTGAGTGGCGAGGCCAGAACTACATGGGCCTCATCAGTGCAAGTGTTGAGACTGAGCGGGTCAGTGATATCTTTGGGGATGAGGATCTCCACAGGGTCTCGCCCCTTGGCCGGAAGTGGGGATGACTTTGGGGTCTCTGCATTGAGCGCTCTACTTACTTCCTCATCCAGGAGGCTATTCAGGTTCAGTGGATCAAATATATTGCCCCCCAGAAGAAAATTGGAGGGTAACACCGAGTCGCAGTCCGAATTCACCCGCCGGCGCCTCTTGAAGGCCGGATGTTTGAAGCCTCCACCGCTCCCTCCCCCCACGTTACAGCTATTTCTTCTCTTGCCCCCGCCACCCCCAGGGGGTCGGTGGGGCTGGTAGCCATTGCGAGGTCGAGGAGGGGCCGGGGGACCCAGGTCCGTCCCGCCCCCTCCCCGTCGCTCCTCCTCCACGTCCGCAGGAGCGGTGGCTCGCCCGTGGGGCTCCCCATGTGCCTGTGCCTGGGGGCCGCCCCCTCCGCTGGCTGCGGCCCCGGCCGAGTGCGCGCGTGGGCCCGGACCGCGTTCCGTCCCGTCGCGGGGCTCCCCGGAGGCAGCCTCTCGGTGCGATCGCACCTCGGGGCCGCCCCCTCCGCCCGACTCCTCTTTGAGCGGCGGCGGCGGGGCCGGCACCAGAAAGGGCTCCTTCTCCGCCGCCATCTCGATCATCTCCTCCCCCTGTTTAATTCCCCCTTCCCAGGCGAGGGGACTGAGACGAGATCACGGGGAAGCCCCCTGCAAACCCTTCCGAAGCCCGCCTCCCTCCCGCCCCTTCCCCGAGTGCGCGCGCAGCTCTGCCTCGCGCCCAAGCGCCTCCACCTCCCTCCCGCGACACACCAAGCGCGCCCCACTCGCCCGCGAGACCAAAACAAGATGCCCGCGAGACCCGGACAAGCCGAGGCGCCAACTGCGCGTGCGCCGCCACCCTCGCCGCCGCCACTACCACTCCGCCGCGAGCGCGCACGACGGGCGCGCGGTTCGCTCGCCCAGGACCCACGCATGCGCACGCCGCCACCACCCGGGCTGCGCGCGCACGGGGCAGTGCGAACCAACTTAACGGCTCCGAGAGTTTAAACACAGCCCCCCATCCCCGGCCGCCTCCCCCAGCCCGAGACGCCCACTGCCCGACACGGACACCCCACTTCCCTTCGCCGCCACGTCCAAGCCCTACTGCTAGCCTTTGTCTCTGCCGTGCGCTCCCACCCACCGGAGGCGGGGAACGGGAGCCGCCGTGAAAAGGTCTCCTTGACACCCGACCCTGGTTCCCGAGGAATGGGGCTCCGAGGTCTCCGCCCGGCTCTAAACCCAACAACCTCCCCGCCCCGCCTCCCTCCTCCCCCATCCCCGCCCCTCCCAGGGCGCGCCTGCGCACAAGCCTCCGGGGCTTGCGCGGGGAGAAGGGGCGACACGTGCTGGAGGCGATGCTCCGCCCCTTCAGCCCTAGGGGCGGGGAGCGTGACGTCGCTTCCTCAGGTTAGGTCCACGCAGCGTGCGTCAGCACGCTCCCGAGGGGGTGTGTCTCCCCAACGCAAGGGGCGGGTCCATGAATTATTCATGACAGGTCTCCGTCCGTCTTCCACCCGTCTAGTTAGAATTAGAAGGTCTTGTGGGAGCTGGAGGGAGGCGAAGGAGTCAAGCACACTCCCTCAAGAACTGTTATCAATAAAATGCAATACATAATTTAGAATAGCCTTTGGATTGAAAACAATAATAAAAAGCACTAAAACATCCGACGTTGTCCAGGTTCCCCCTCTCCGGAAAAGGCCCAGTCGTCATCGCAACCCTCCTTCCTGCAACAGCGAACACCTAGAGAATCATGCCTTCCTCCCGCCCCGCACCTACGTCTACACTCGGGCGCCTGCGCATCCGTCCCCACCCGCTAGTGTAGCTCCTGCAGCACTTAACACACGCGGGAGTGTGGGCGGGAAAGGCTAAGCACTCGCTTAGGGCCCCCTGCCCCGGCCAATGGGAAGCACTGATCCGATGCCGAGTCCCCACAGTGATGGCAGCCAGTTCCTCTGCCACTGGACAGGCAAGAGTGGAGCTCAAGATGGTCTCAAACAAAATGCAAAAGCGTGAAGGAAACGAAAAGATAAGGGTTATTGCATGAAAACAGGAAGGAGGCGATTTGAGACAGATTCGGGAACCAAGTGCCCCAGACGCTCCGTTGCCTAATGGAAAAAACGGCACCTGCGAGGAGGATTCTGGGACTTGTAGTTTCACGAGGCTTTAGTATGGAAAATGGCGGTATATCCCAGCTGCGCAGACGCAAAGAGGCTTCCAGCTGCGCATGCGCATCGTCTTGGAGCGCGCGCGCGCCGCTTGGCGGCGGAATCGGTCCGTGTCCTCGCGCCTTCTCTAGGTGGCGGGAAAAGTAGGTCGCGGTGGAGAAGGTGTGCGGAATGGCAGCGACAGCGTAGGCTGCGCCTCCTCTTTAGGCCCTCGTCGCCCCAGAAGGTAGTTGGCTTTTATCCAGCCGCAGAGGAAGGTGTTAGGTTGGCCGAGGAGGAATTGTCTCTTCAGAGCTGCGGCCGACCCTTTCTCCTCAGAGTCGCTGATCTTCAAACCACTCGCCAAAGACAGCCCCGTGTCGTGGCGGGAAATGAGGTCTTGAGGGACAGTAAGGTCGAGCGTGAGCTGAGGGCAAGAGGCTTTTAGGGTGGGATTCTTGGTCAGGATGAGGGAATGGCGAACCGCCGCTGACTGCTTTGACTGGGTGAGGCCTCCCATATTTTAGTCGCTGG